TATTTAGTTATTTAATATAAAGTAGTTGTATATAGTTCTATTTTGTTTTTTTTTTCTTTCTTCAGATTTTGTTGTTTTAGTGATCATTGGAAAGAGTTTTAGTTAATATTTAATTTTTTTTTTTTTTATATTAAATAATATAAATTAAATTTTTAAAATTTTCTAGATAATACAAAAAAAAAAAAGGAAATCACAAAGTTAAACCCAAGACCTATAGAACCATTCAAATATCCTATGATGAATTTTAAAAAGGTATAGCTTCCTTTTCACTAATCTAATGAAACATCACAAGTAAAAAAAGCTCAACTTTCTCATCAACCTCACAAAATAATTAATCTAGAGAAGGAACAACCTTCTCATCAATCTCAAGAAATAATTAATCATAAGATAACTCGATCTTCTTACCAATCCCAAGTAATATTATATACAAAGGACAATGAACATAAAGAATGAAAGACACTACAACTAATAACAAATAATAATATTATTATTATTCAAATTCCTGACACTGAGAAGTAACTTGATATTAATTTGAATATTTCTTTCAAAAGTTAATGTTTTTATTATTTCAAATGTAAACTTTATTAAATTCTTTATGCTGTTTTACATAATAAATATTATTTGCTAAATTATAAAAAAAAAAAACTTCAAAATGAACCTTTGCTTTAGTCTATTACAATTTTAAAATGCCCAACCTATTTATATCTTTGCCTAGTTTATTACAATTTTAAAGTGCTCAGCCTATTTTATGCCTTCGCCCAATTTTAAAAGTGCTCAATACTTTATTTATTTATTATATAATTTTAGTAAAAACTGAATTCAGTTTTTGCTATAATAAAAAATAACTAAATTCACACTAGTCTATATGAAAATCATGTATTATATGATTTTTATTATAGACTGGTGTGAATAAGCTTTTGAAAAAAGCACAAGTTGTTACATAAGACCCATATGATAATGACATATATAGTAATAATAAAAATTATATACATACGAGCATACCCTTATATTTTTAAAAACACTATCTAAAAGAATATCAGAATATCAATAAAGTATACTAATACTAACAAAGAACTATATACAACTACTTTATATTAAATAACTAAATATTAATATCAAAGTCTAACCTTTTCTTGAATATACTAAAATACAATTAAAAGAAACAGAGACTTCGCTTTCTCTACTCCTATATCTTTTAACAAACTTGTGTTG